AAGCAAAAAAAATAGTTTTCTTAATGCTTTGTTTTTAATAATCAAGTGCCACCTCCTAGACATTCCTTGTCTAAATACGCTATTTAATAATTCCTTCCACAGTTTTTCCAAAGATTAACCAATAAGATCAACAGTCGTTAAATATGCATAATTCTCCTTTTTCCCTCTTCAGAAAATTTGCCACTTTCATGCTTTTTGGAACCTCTTCACCCCAAATTCCAAGATTGCTGGACAATATTTTTCTGTCATGTTTATAAATTTTTCTATTCCCTGAAATGAAGCCCTTCAGAGTCTGAGCAGCTCTATTTTCTCTTGGGCTTTGGTATCCCTGTATGCATATTTGTTCTACCCTTTCCAAAATCAAGATTATTCTCCTTAATCAAAAATATGAAAGAAAATAGAAGTTCTAATTTATCTGTTATATTAATATTATACTATGTATAGACTGGCAGTAATCTAACTGTTGTTCCCTTTATCTTTTTGCTGTCTATATAACTTAAATATATATATATTTTTGCTTTTTGTGCCCTCAGTGTCTTTCACATGCTTCACATCTTTATATCACCCTGGATTTTTACCTTATTTACATTATTATAAATAGGTACCACCTGCTTATCTTCATTCTTGGTTTCATGAGCTCATTGGGGCACTCCCAGTGATATTAAACAATTTGTTTTGGTTTTGTTTATAGTAATTTGCTTTTCTTCTTATCTGAGATCATTTGTAATTGTGTATCTATGTTTCCATTTGTAAATTGCCCATGATTCATCATCTATCTTTCCTCTTGATAGGTTTGCCCTTTTTACAAGATCTTTTTAAGGAATTTTTCAAGATTTTTTTCAAGAATTTTTAAATCTGTTTTCATTGAAATCTAGTAAACCTCTCCCTATGCCTGGAATTCTCTGCTAGGAATATTGTGTTAGTATATCCCTGTCTTCAAGGTTACCATTATTTGCACATCAGGAGGAAGCTTCACATTGTTGGAAGTATTTAAGTTCAAATAAGCAGTGTCTAGTATTGTTCTGTTGAGACCTTAAACAATAAAAATGTCAGAAAGCTAGTCACAAAGTCATGAGATCATCTAGCAGAATGAATCCAAAACCATTCGACTGATTGAGTTAGCTCTATTCACCAAGTGCTATTATAAATAATATCTGATTGACCCCAAAACAAAATTCCCTATGGGTTCCCTTCCTCCCATACTCTTAAATATAAATACCTCATGAAGGATCTCTCCTTAACTCTCTTTTTCTTTTCATAAAAATGTCTCCTGTCATGTTCTGATATAGTCTCCTGGCCTCAGCTATCCCTTCCTAAATTCCCCCATCTTTATTTCTAGCTCTGACCCCTCTTCTGATCTCTCTCCATCCAACATTTCAACTGCCTATCAGATAACTCCACTTGGTTGTCCCAGAATCTCCTCAAACTTGGTATGAATCCACCACCTTTCCTCTCAAAATCTTTCTTCCTTCTTCTGAATTTCCTATTTCTATTAGTGATTCTGCAATCCTATATGCCTTGGCATAAAAGCTCTGTGTGCTGATTTGACCTCTTCCTCTCTTGCACCCATATGTCATCAGTTGCCAAGTCCTGCCAATTAAACTCCTTCGTATCTCTGACATCCACACCCTCTGCTTCCTCTTGTTCAAGCTCTCACGGTCTTATGTATGAGCCATAGCTTAACTATCCCCCTCAAGTTCTCTTCCTTCAATATCTACTACACAATGAGGTATATTTAACTTCCTAAAACATGGCTTTAATTCTATCACTCTTCCCTCTCTGGCAACCTTCCATTACTCTCTATCTCAATACAAAACAAATTTCAAACCTCTTGTCCTACCATTCAATATTGTCTACTGAGGATTTAGCCTAATCCTGTTATTCTTATATTTCCCATTCCTCCCTTTATGGCAACTTAAAGTCCAGACTTGCTGTTCCAAATAATGTCCTGATTTTCTACTTCAGGCCTCTGCTCACATTGAGCCCTTAATTTGAATGCCCATCCACCCACCAACGCTTCAGCAACCACCCAGCATATTGTACTCACTTGTTACTTCAAAACCTCTCCTGACTACATCAGCTAGAAACAACCTCTCCCTGCCTCCCCTCACCTCTCAAAGTATCTTGTGCCTTAGTAATGACATTTATCACTTCATTTCTTAGACTAGAGTTACTTATACCAATAATTTTCTTTCTTCATGAGAACGTAAGCTCCTTGGTGAAAATATCTACTTCTAAATAATTTTAAACATCGCACATTTCCTAATGTCACCTTGAACACAGCATTTATATATGAGTACCTAAATATTGGATAAATTAATAATGAAATAACTCAGGATCAATCTTATCTTCTTGACAGATTCAGGCATTTTATATTAGCTTATTAATGGGTGTCAATTGCTACAAAATTCTGCCAGACAACTGAAAATCTAAGCAATTGTTCATTGAACAAAAAGTCTTCGTTAGTTCAACATTGAAGAAATAAACAGAAATATGTTATAAATAGTGGTTAACATTAACAAATATCTGATGTGCCAGGTCACAACAAGTGTCTACAGAGATGCTCGAGATTCTGTGGAAATTTTAGGAAGCAGGTGGCATTTCACACTTATTTGTTCCATAATGAATTGAGAAGGAATTAGCTGGCTATGATAACTTTTGGCATTTTAACAATATAACTAGATATACAATTTAAGGTTGACTTATAGTTTATTCTGCCACATCGAAACTAAATTATTGTCATATTATTTTTCAGTGTTGCTTATATTCCCATGAAATTTGGCAGGCTAATAACTTGCTGTTGATAAATATAAGGAAAAAGTGCTCCTATCTTAAAATATAATCATGCCTTATATGTTATAAAATTAGCTTCTTAACTACCTAGACTGAGGTATGAGAGAGGCATCACATAACCTCTGAGTGACAAAACATTGATATTCCCTAGCAACCTTCTCTAAGCTTCGTGTTGCCAAAACACTTGAGACATCCTACCTCCAGCCACAGTTTTCATTACCTTATTGTAAACCCCAAGATGAAACCAGCCCAAACTGGCTATTGACAGGGATGAGGAGGCATTGCTGCACTCAGTGGTTACTGTCACACGTACATCTGTGCTCTTCTCTATAGGCTATCCATGGAAAGAGGTCGATGGTTACATACCAGCATGCAAGGAGCTAAAAATGTGCTCCCTTTTAATGAGAGGCCCTTCTCCTGCTGCTGGCTGTGCTGGTGCTGCCTCCAGGCTACAGTATTTCATGATGGAGAGGACAATGAGGGAAGCTGTGAGAAGCTGGAATAATTTCTCACTCAGGGAAATGGTGTAGTTAATTAGTTAAGAGGGTGGAAGCTGAACTCAAATTGTCTGGGTTCAAATCCTGATTCCGCTATTTATAAATTGTAAGAGCTTGAATTAGTTAGTTAACTCCCTAAACTTGCATTTCTTTTGTAAAATAAAAATTATTACAAAGTGTCTTTATAATTATGACTACTAAGTGAAATATTATAATATATATTTGTTATTATGACTATTAAGTAAAACAATGTCTATAAAAACTTATCAAATGTTTTGGTACAATAAATTTAAAATATTACTAATAGTTGCTCAATAAGAACCTCTAGATAGAGAACTGATTCACGAGTTTTCAGTTTTTACTTCTAATGACCAGATTTTTATCCAAAGAAAAGAAGTGATTCTGGAGACCTATGCTTGTTGCCTAGCTATTTTTTCCCCCCAAAAGAGCTGTTTATGGAATTTAAAAAGTAATACCGGGTGAAGTTATACAGTCATCTTACACACAAAGGAAAACATGACAAAGTTGGAGAACAACATGTTGCTTTTCTTCAACAAATGTCCCTGAACTTATGCATCAAAAAAGAATTTTATCTTCAAAGTAGTCACATCAGGAAGCCATGCATTTATTTCAATAATGTTGCCAAATATTTTTGGAACTCTTCTTTCTAAATTACCTTCCAAGCCTACTTCAGATTCTTTTACATGTCTTCATTGGTAACAAATTTTTGTGCTTTGGGAGTTTTCAATTTTGAAAGCCAATTTAAAATCAATTCTTATAAATAAGATGGAGGATAATGTCATATCTGGTAAAATAAAATAAAATAAAATAAGGAAATAGGGCCTCTTTTGCATAGCTAGTAAAATATCTCAAACAATTCCAGAGGGGAAATCTCTAAAACATTTCAAGCCAATAGAAGCATTATCAGAACTAGTGTGTTGCTTTCTGTATGATTAACAGGTTATGTGTTTATTTACTTAATTTTATGAAACAAATACTTATAGGGTATTATGCATCATGTACTATTCTAGAAACTTTTACATATATTAGCTCATTTAATGTTCATATCTTATGAAGTAGTTTTATTATCCACATTTTACAGATGAGGTAATTGAGGCACAGAGAAGTTAAGAATTTTGTCCAAGGACGCATCAGCAAAAAGCTTTCTTAGTGTCAACAAGCATTATCTGATCCCTTTTTTCCTCTGTCTTCCCATAGCAAGTTATACAAAGAGGAAACAGTCCCACTTTCTAGCTTCCTGGTGTTCTAATGCTCTGGAGTCTATCCTGTTTTCCCAAACTAACAGACCTTTATTCTTCAGCTTCTTGCCAGGAACAGTCTCTCTCCTCACAAGTTTTCCTCATGCCTATTTCAAACTCCTTCCTTAAACTTCATTTATTCCATTGCATCACTCAGGAGCTCAATCTTGCTGGGCTAACAGGGAAAATAGAATAGGGGAGAAGGGAAGGAAAAGCACTGAAGTATTTTTAAGTTCTCTTTGGAAAAGCACCTTGTGTCATTTTCCATCAGTAAAATGCTTTGAATGTCTCACTTTGCTCTCCTTTGCTTTGAAATAGGAGTTTCCAAAGCAGCTTCATACCAATGCCAAGAGCATATTGCTGGCCAGCCATTTGATAATGACAATAGCCCCAAGAAAACATATTTAAGCAAATTGAAAAAATAGATTATGCCAGAACTTTTTTATTTCAGGATAAAAGAAAAATACAAGAAGAAATCTCACAGAAGCGTCTGAAAATAGAGGAAGAAAAACTAAAGCACCAGCATTTGAAGGTAATTTATGTCTTTCATTTCATTTTAATGATTCTGAATTCAGATATCCTGATAGCACTCAACAGTAAAGATGCTTTAGGAAGGAAAATATTTCAGCATACTTCTACTAACACCCTAATAACCATAGGGGAAGCCAACAAGCTAGTAATATTTGCATATGAGATGAGTACCTTCTGAAAACATATGGAAAGTTGAAAACCTTATTTTTAGCCTTTATTACTGAATTTCTTCATTTTCTTGGATAACTTTGAAAATTCAGCCTTGATCATTTGGCCCTGAATATATCCTTGTTTAACATTTTAGGGAGCAAGTCTAGCTAGGAAGTCCCTTTTGAAATCAATAAAAGGCCAGCCTTTCCCCAAGGGGTGCAGAACAGACACTGTCTGGCCTGGTCAAGGATGCTTGCATTTAAAAGCTCAGTGCAATGAATCCAAGGCTGTCTCAGTATGATTCAGGTTTTTGTTTTATTTTGTTTTGACAGAACATGAGATCATAATCAAAAATAAACCTCCATTTTAAAAATCAGACTTTACATCTTCCATGGGTGTGGTCACTTTATAATTAAAACACTGAGTTTTAACATTTTATTACATAGCTTAGTCACAGGATGTAACCAAGTGACAAACAGGAGCTCCTTTTGAACAGGCCCAAGCAGGAAACTACTTCTGTGGCAAGGCTGCTATCAATAGATGCGGTGAATCCCTCAATGAAACAATACCACATGCCTGTGGGATTCACAAACTGATGTTAGTTAAATTTGCCAAATTCAGCTAGACCCATCTTTCTGCTGGATAAAGAAAAAAATTCTGAGCAGAAACATAATTTACAATTTTAGTTAGCCTCAGTGCTCTGGATTCTGTTTGTGTCTTTGCTCCTATCCAAACTGACATTTCCAACATTTGATGAATCATTTCAAAGCGTAGTTAGCCTGCTATCCTTACAGTATGTCGTACTGAATTTTCAGGAGTAGTGGACATAGCCAAGAAAGGCAGTGTGCACTCCCAGAAAAATCAATGACATAAAAACAAATTTTACCAAGTCATTTAAGTGCAACTCAAATGAAGTCAAAGTCAAATAGATAGCAATTTTTGAGATAGGCCATTTCTAACTCCCAGATCAGTGCTTGTGCATTTGCACGCTCTCTCTCTCTCTCTCTCTCTCTCTCATACACACACATGCACACACACACACAATTTGCACATGATTTTGGTCTCATAGTGAACAAATTACTGCTTCTGAGTAAACTGAGAGCTCTCTAGCATTCGGCAATTGATATTACTGCAGAATGGGTAGCTAAACAACAGTAGAGCTGGCAACAGAATAAAAGATTTAAATATCTCCTCAGTTCGTTTTAGGAAGTAAGTTTCACACAGGAAAACTCTGACACACTGAAAGGTCCATTACTAAGGTGGTACTTCATTTCAGTAATTGCCAAAACAGCGCAAAAAGTAGGACATGATCTTCCCTATAGATTTGCTTTCGGGAACCCAGGAGATCTCTTCTAGTCCAATCCAATCCCAGCGTTCATTATTCTTTAGACTGCTGTACACAGTTGTGCAGATAGTGCACTGAATAAAGTTACCCGACAGATGGGTACTGAAATCCTGCCCACACTCCCATAGGCTATTGCACCCTGGCACAGGGCTGCTTCTGCCTAGAGGATGTCGTTTCTTTTTCTCTGCACAAAGGTGCCGTCTACCTTCCCAAGTTGTGCACTGACCCAAAGGGGTGGGTGTGGGAAATTGTCCCTTTTCCTAATTTGCATATTAATACCATAGAGACCAGCACTGACCCTAGAGGACTTTAGCGCTTCTGCCTGCAACCTCATGGGAAGTTTTAAATTAAATAAATAATTAGGACAAGTTAAATGATGGTTTTTTAAATTTAAATATGAGTATAAGCAGTAATTATTTATTCTGCGATGGTCATAGAAGGTTTTGTTAAAGGTGTGGGATTTAAGCTGACCCTTAACTGATAAGTAGAATTTATATAGGAGCACACAGGGCCTTTTCATCAATAAACTATTTCTTAAGCACCTATTATGTACAAAGGACTAAGCCAGACACTAAGAATATAAAATAAAGTTCGGTCTGTGTCCTTAAAATGGTAACTGACGCATAAATTATAATGGCGTTCCTACTGTGATGAACACTATATATGAGGTAAAAACTGCAAAGGGAACATAGAGGAAAGAATGGCTATTTCAATAGCACACATTCTTCCAAGCTTTGAAGAAAATGATTGGCTATCCAAAAAAAGCAACGAGGCATAATTCCAAAACAAGTTTCAAAATGTGTAGAATTTTAAAAATCGATTTCAAAATATGTTCACCAAGCCAAGAAAGCTCTGTTGGCCTCTACAGTTACCAGTCTTTCTTTTATTTTTTTCTTCATCCATTGGTCCCCTCTCCAGTGAACACCCTCACAACTTTTCTGATTGCAAACTATCTCATTACACTTCAACCACCTACTTTAAACAACACAAACGCAAACATATAGAAAGTACTCCTTCTGTATCAGTAGGACATACATTTCAAAACAGTTGTAGTAACTCACTCTGATATTCTTTAGCTCTGTATCCTGACAATCACACCAAATTCATGCTGGGTTTTCCAGGAACATTATTAGCATTTTAACTTTCAAATATTTCTGAGATTTTTGCACTATAGATCTTCTTGCCTAGTGTCATAGTCACAATCTGATGCCACCGAGAAACACAAAATACACTCAACCTAGAAGACGTTTCTTTGCTGAGAGTCTATTTAATTCATGGTATGAAATACTCATTTATTCTTAAAGTCTACTGTAACTGTTGTGTAGAATGTAGAAGTGCTTTCAGACAACTTTCTCTAAAAAACTGCCTAAAGATCTATTACCTACATGCCACTTATATATTGATTTAGTTAATATGGTTTTTTGTTATGAATGTCATTGTTGCAAAATAGATTTAATTATATTCATGACCTCATATAATAAGTCACAAGTCTAAATGTGACATAAAAGCAAAATAACTGCTGTGATTGCTATAATATGCGATAGTACTATATCATTTTGATTGCACATCCAAATTATATATTTTATGTTTAGATGCAAAGAGTTCTCTGCCAGAGATAAATGACAATTCGTGAATTATGAACAAAGTTTTATAAGGCTAACGTGAAAATTATTCTTATTCCTAACAAGACTAAGGACCAAAAATGTAGCCTTAAGTTAACATAATCACATCACAAGTCTCATTCTCTGTCCTCTACAACCCAGCATTATAAGACTGTCTCATCTGAGTGATTCTTATAGAGATATGGATGTAAATGACTGAAACTATTTCTCTGGGTGGTTTGTAAGGACTGTAATTTCCTTTGATAGGTGTCAACTGTCTTCTTTACTATACATTAGCTATCACCACATTCCATCAAATAAAAATAAATTAAAATCAAGATGAATTCTTACAATGCTGATATATTAAGATTTTCTTCACATCTTTGACCTCAGGAGATAAATCCTGAACTTTATTAATATTTACTGTGTCTATGGGAAGTCATTTTTGCAAAGAGCTAAACAGCTGTAATTGAGGGTTAAGAGAATACTGGTGGCAAGAATCTCTGGCTACAAACTGCTCATGCATGTACTAGAAACTCTAAAAGACCAACACAAATATGATGACTTGGATTGATGAGGTTGTTACCCAATTTAGTGGTTTTCAAACTATGTTCTGTGCATCTAGTTGAGGCTTCCAGCTTCAACTAGAGCAGTCTAGGTTTCATCTATTCTATAAATTATAATTCCATATAATATTTATTTGTAATCAGGGTAATATTTTTAAATGATTTGAAAACCATTACCTTAGATAAAATAACCATCCTTTGGTAATTATCCAGCATAATCAACATTATTTAATTTTTTTTTAATTCAGAGACATATTTTACTGTTATTAATTCTAGCATGCTTTGAAAAGAGACAAAAATTCTTCTTATTTGCTCTCATTTATGGTGTAAGAGAAAGAAGTCTCAGAAAATAGAAAGTTTCCATTCTCTCCATTTACCATTTTAGACATGGTGAATCTCCAATGAATAATTATTGAACAAATCCTTTACAAAGGTAAAAAGAATAAGGAGAATCTCAAACTCTGAAAATGATTTTTAGCCATTTCAATTTGAGACAGAAACAGGATGCTAGCTAAATCCCCTCCGAAATTTATGAGTCTTCTTCATTTGCTTTAAGTCCTCTTAGGCTCAGCACAAGAATGTAATTTTTGCAAGCAAATTCATGAAAGAATTTGCATGAAAGGGTATTTTCTTTCCATATTATGAAACATACATCTTTTTCGTTTTGTTAAAGTCAACAAAAAATCAACTCACCAATATTTAGACAGATCAGTGATTTTGTGCATCACGTTATTGGAAATGGATAAACCTGGATATCTGGAACTGGGGAAGTTCTCAGAAGAAAGAAGGGATACTGGGTAGGCAAAACAATAAATATCAACCACATAGCCTAAGACCAATATTGAATTTGTTTAATATATAATAGCAATCTCCTGTTTTGTCTGCTATTCCAATTTGTTCCTCAAAAGATTTTTTTGGGAACAGTCACTGTATACTGTCACTGAGATAAATATCACATTAATTTCAAGGAGCCTTTTACTTTAAGTTCACAAGATATACCCCCATCAACCAAAGAAATAACAGAAAAGCATCGCATGATGATGTTCCTATATGACTGCTAAGAACACACAGGAAACATGCAGTGTACATAAGCATATCATGCTGCATGACTCTGAAGAGAGTTTTCTGAAAGTGAGGATGGGGCAATGGGGGGGAGGGGGGCAGGCCAGGAGGAAGACAGAGATTTTCATGGAAAAAGAACCTGAACTAGAACTTTAAAGCTAAATAGAATTTATTATTTTTTTAAGTTCATATTCATTTAGTTAATTTCCATTTTTTTATTTCATTATTTTTTAATTTATTTATTTTTATTATGATGACACTGGTTAATGAAATCCAGCAAGTTTCAGGTGTACAATTCAATTGTAAGGCATTTATTTATACTGCATTGTGTGTTCACCACCCATAGTTAGATTTCTTTCTGTCACCACATATTTGACCCCTTTTACTCCATCTACCTACCCCTTAAATAGAATTTAGATACATAAAACTGTCTTTGGAAGGTCAAGAAAGGTGAAAGAATGAAAAGTCTAGATTTATTCAAGCAAAGCAGTGCGAGAAAATAATTTCTCTTAAATATGTCCACTATTGAAATTCACAGATTTGAAAATCAGAGATTTTGAGATTGTTTACTGATATAAGAAAATATCTTTATGTTTCCTGATATCAGAAAAAGGCGTTGAGGGAGAAATGGCTTCTAGATGGAATCAGCAGTGGAAAAGAACAGGAAGAGATGAAGAGACAAAATCAACAAGACCAGTACCAGATCCAGGTTCTAGAACAAAGTATCCTCAGGTATGACCCTCACTGAGATACTTCATTTATTTTGGTTTTGTCCCATGTTGCATGTTTAAGAGCCATTTTCATTTTTAGAGATACAATCCGATCTTCGATTTGGATTTCCAATGAAAACTAAAGAAACACAACTCTCTTTTAGAGCTGTTGAGCAGATTAAAAATATATATGCTAAGCTAGTAGCATCTACCTGATACATGGCAAGTTATCAAAAAACTGTCCTTCATATCCCTCAACCTCATTTTTGCCTTAGGACAGATGGCATTGCTATAGGTATGTTTACACTGTCCCCCCATCATGCCTCTCCCAGACCCTCACCAGTCATAAATGTGATATTTTGAAAGAGAAACACTAATGGAATACTTCACCAACATTTTCTCCTATTTCTGTGCGCATTTGGTCACAGATGTTGACCTCACTTCATGATGTCTATCCCTGCCCATCATTCATAATCAGTACAGAGTCAGCATCTTCTGATAAAACAAGTAAAGCTTTTAAATTGCTTTGGCTTAAAATGAGGTGATAGAGAAGAAAAAAAATGGAAAGCTCAAATATAAGATGGAATTATTAGTATTATCACAAAATATAGATAGTGTGGAACAAAGAGACATGGGAAATGTCAGAATCATTTTTTAACCTACACATGGAAAAAAAGGGATTTCTTGTGGTATAAAAATAACAATAATTTAAAGCCTACACATCTTTGAGACATAGGTAACTTTCAAACTTTACTCGCTATGTATTTATTCTCTTTAGAGAGGACTCTGTAGGAAAAGATCTGGAGGATAAAAATATCCAGTAGCTGTGCTGGGACCACATTTTGTCCTTACTTACCAAACTATGCAAACAGATCACATTAGGCCAAAAATTGACAACATGGAAAAAAAGCTTCCTTTTTTTCAACTGATTTTCATTTTACTTGTTTAATTTCATACACTTATATATTTAATAGTTAAAATCATTGAGCATTCATTCTTGTTTATATGTTTTTTAAATTAACAATTCTTTAAAAAGTATTTTATAATTAAAATTTTTACATTTATAAACTCCTCAGTTGTTTGCTGAAAGATATAAAGTGCTTCTAAATGGTGGATAACAAATACTTTAAAAATAACTCAATATATCAACTCAACAATTTGGAAAACTTAATTCTTCATAAGGCAACTCTTAGCAAGAGCTTCTAACCAAAATCTGACTTAACAGATGATGACTTTCCTCATTCCTCAACACAGAACCCGTATCTCTGAAGGGGTACTGAATTCAACCCTTGTTAACCCTTTGCTCTGCACAGGCATCTCCCTGCCTCTCCCCCGAGTCCTGTCTCTGGGGTCTTTCCACATACTGCACGCCTACGACTTTCTTTGTGCCTGGTGATTATTGGAGTGGCTACATATACTCAAATGCCTTAACAAGCTTGGGCAGATTCTGAGTAATCCCAGAAAATTTACTAGGACTCTGCTGATAGCTTTCAGGCCTTGCCTGAATGCTCTGAAGAGCACAGAAGCTTCTAGTAGTATTGATGGTGGCTTGCCTAGTTAAAACTCCTAGCTGACCAAAAAAAAAAGGAATAAGAAGGAGCATGAGGAGGAGGGGGAAAAGGAAGAAGAAATGGAGGAGAAAAACATATTTTCTAGCCATATTACCTCCAGGTACTTTACATATATCAGCTCATTTAATCTTCATAATCCTTTGAGGCAAGCGTTGTTCTCTTCACTCTTTGCAAAGTGATTAAAGAATTCACACAATTAGGGAGTGACAGATCAGAGACGAACTCATTGGACTCTCCTATGCACCCTATACAGGGATTGCACACACAACTCTCTGTGCACTGAAATGGTGTTCTCTTCCAGGAAGTCTTTGACGCATGTTCTGTCCCTTGGTTCTCCGTTTTCCAAACAGCTCCGACCACACTCCCACGTCCCTTTAATATCTTTGCTAAATCACCAATTACATGTCTGTTCGTAACCAATTTTCGGTATCTCACTACAATTTATTTTAGATCTTCAGGATGTCAATAACCCATCTGTGCTCCTTTATTAACACCAAATGATTTTAATCCCTGAATATAAATAATAATAACAGTAATGGTTCTTTTTAATTGGCCTTGTGAAATTTCCAAAGCATTTGTACATTTAATAGTCACAGCAATCTTAGAAAGAAAGCGTCAATACCTCCATCTCATCGAAGAGGAAATAGGCTCAGAGAGGACGAGGAACTTGTTAAGGTCACAGATCCAACAAAGGGTCTCAAACTTGGGCCTCAAAGCCAGTCAGACTCAGTGCTCTCCTGCTGCAAAGTTAAAAGACAGCTGTAGGTGTGAATGTTCTGGAAAGAGTAAAACAACTAATACCTAAAATTGTTTTGTTCAAAGAACGGTCCTTAAGAGATATATTTGCAAAAAGTTAGTAAAGAATTTGTATCTCTGTGACCCATAATGGCATGTTTATCTCCCTAAAAATGTGCAGGGGACACAATGTTCTGAAGCCACATATGACACACGGAGACAAAAAATATCTGTGCCTTGACCGTAGTAAGCAGCCTGCGCCATTGCCCAGCATTGTAGAAATCCTGTTGCCAAAGCAGCTTTACCTGACAACTGAACATTTTCTTCTCAGATATTTCTAAAGCTGCTACATAATCAGGTTCCTTTTTTATAAATTCAATCTTTCTCCAAAACAACCACCTACTGTGCTTAAGAAGCTTTTATTGCCAGCTAAATACAGTACATTTTCCTGTTAGCTCTGAATGGCCACCAAGCCAACTAAGGAAGTTGAACTGGCAGAGCCCTCCTCCTTCCCTAAGCAGAGAAAGGATCCCAAACCCTAAATGTCATTTATCACTTGACTTAGGTGCCTGCTCAAGGGTGACATTTGCCATCTGCCAGGCCTCTTGGCTAGAAGATAAGACTTTAATAGGAACATCAAAATAGAAATATTGCTGTTACCTCAGAGTGTGTAGCAGGACCAGACTTCGCCTGTGAAGTTTTCATTCCTTCTGCTTCCACGGTGTTGTGAGTTGAACCGAAAAAATTCACCTTTGGCATTCAGATCCCTGTTCTGCCGACCACGGTGCTTAAGCCTGGCCATGTTCATTCATCTCTTCGGGCCTCAGTTTCCGCGTCTGTGATAGTGGGACAATTATAGACATTTCACAGGATTGTTTTAAGGGAAGCAACCTCCAGTGTGCCTGACACATGGTAGGTGTTCAAATAATATATTAGATACTATTCCTTCTTAGGAGTCAAAAGGAATTAGAAGGACACTGACTAGAGCTTTATCAAAGAATTTTTATCTTTTGGTTAAAATCTCTCAATTCTCTAGGTTAGTACAAAAAATCTCTTTCTTTGAGTAAACTGAGATTATTATCCAACTAGAATTTAGAAATAATTGATAGTCTTCTTGAAGACTAAAATGCTAATAATAGGAGTTAATTTTTAGTGAACATTTGTTATAGACCAGACACTATAGTAATTATATATTATTTCATTTCTCATAACTATCTTATGAGGTAAATAACATTTAAAGATGAAAAGCGGACATTTAAAGAGGCTAACGTGCCCCAACTCATACAGCTAAAAAATTAAGGGCTAAGATTTAAAATCTAATTAAAAGTCCTAACAATAAAAATAAATTGTGCCTCAGATATTGCAGATAAATTTTACAAAAGTTAAATTCTGTAAAAGCTACCCTTTTACAGCATTTTTAAATTTCCAATCCATGCTACAATTTCACTCTCATAAGCATCCTTTTGTATAGACAGCCATATGACTCTACCATATTAAAAACACTGAGTTTCCCTGACTCACACATAACATTTGAGTAAAGCATGTCTGCTTATTTGTCCTTTTATCTTTTCTTTCAAAGAGAGGCAACATTTCAGAAAATAAGTACGCTTCCATGGGCTTTGTCTTCGAGTCACATTGTTAGCTTTAGTACAATATTAGTGAATATTTTTCCCAGAGGAAAACTATATTAAACATCTTCTGAATCACTTCACTTAAATAGCATTTCAATTTACCTCCCGAATGAGCCCTGCTTTTATGGTGACCACTGAACCATTTGCTTCCTAATCATAGTCACAGGTGTAAATCCAGCACTGACTTTTCATTCCAAACACCCATGTATATAAATTTATAGGCTGGCTTAGAAATCTTGTTCTGTCACTTCTGTTGCTTTCCCCCATCCAAGAGCCTACACCCAAAAAACACACCCAAACACCCTTTGAAGTGTCCAAAGGAGCTATGTTGTTCACATCCAAAGTTCTCTTTCTTATCCAGCTGCCCTGCAGTTTCCATGACTCCCTCTGTCAAATTGCCATGCCTCAGGCTCCCCCTCCAGACACTTGCTGCTCTTGGAACTGTGTCCAAAGATCTCTGACTTTGATTGGAGCATTCAGAGCACTGGACAGAAATGCTGTAAGCATAAAATGCAAAAGGTTAACTGCCAAGGAGAATGATGCAAATACACTGCATTCTCTTTGAGAAGGATTATCTACTTATGATTAAATGTTCTCCAGTAAGGATTTTTTTTTAAATACTCCCAAATATCCTACTGACCCTCTGCCTTCACTTAATGAAAGTTTATTTGTCTCCAGTAGTTAGAAACTGCCTTTCACATATGGTATTAATGGGAAGGTGCATATGAAGCATTGATTTCTATGTGACTGTGTGACACAAGAAGAGCTGAGGAGTGGGCTGTTACGGAAGCTACGGCCATCCCACACGACTTATGGGAAATTCTTCCACAAATGGGGATGGAATACTAAAAAATGCATTCTGCTCAATATCATATAAAGCAATAATCTACTTAGTTAACTCAAGAGATAGTAGGCTAGAGTTAATTTCAAAAAAAAGGAACCCAAAATATTAATGTAGAAATATAAAGGTGAAATGATTTTGTTGCTGGTTATGGTTTATCAAAGTTTAAATCTTTATTATTTCTATCCAAGTTTAACCCTTACCCACTGGCCTCATTTGCCTGAGCAAGCCAATTGTACCTTAG